CAAGTTACCCCCAAATGCTGCCATACCCCCCTTACTGCTATATATATATATACTTAGGAAGAATACTGACGATTAAAAGGGATGCATACAGCCTAGTAATATGTGCAGAGAAAAAGGGCTGTGACAAGGACATGGCCGACCTAGATGACCGTTTGTGGCTTATTAGCAGTCGCCATCAAGGATACCCATATTTTGTGCATATAGATTGGAATTCCAGCCTGATTACTTGGGTCATTAAATATCGGCCGGTCCGACGTTTAAATATAGGTAAAGCCAGACAGATCCGGACACATAAATTCGTAAACCCTTAAAAGTAACTCATTCTCTGAAAGAGGGGAAAATAAAGAACTGGCTCTTGAATTAGGTGGTTAGGATGCAGGAAGACAACAAATTTTGAAAAAGAAATAGCAAGGAAGAATACTCTCATTGGTTAAAAGACGTGAATTCTTGATTATCTATCAATGAGGCCTACTAAACTATACTTAAGTCGGTAAGATTATATCGTGGAGTCGTCTGGGGAAAGTGTGAAGCGCGCCCTGCGGGCTAACGAACACCTAATTTTCGGGGAGAGGACGGCCGGGACATGTCAGGGAACAAATTGGAGTCCAATATTTTTGTTAAATAAAAAAGTTACAAGGGCAAGTTGGGTCGCGTACTTAAACCTTGGGAGAAGACACTGGATGAGCTTACATGGAGGGGGAGTGTGCCCAAGCCTCGGGCGAGGTTACTGAGAGACATTTTTCAGTTGTACCACCAACACCAGCAGGGAAACAGTTTAAAGAAGAAGAAAAATACGAAATTATGTAAATCACCCTACTTAAACACTGTTAGTGAGCGATAATTCCCGTGGTTAGTTTAAAAGGCCATTTTTTCGTAGTTTGCCGATTATAGCAATTAAAGAATGCGGTTACCTTAGAAGAACCGCTCTGAAGTTCAATGCCATCAGCAAATCTCAACTGGACCGATGGGTGGCGCGTAGAAAACGGAAGATTGTAGGTAATTCAGCCTACTGAAAATTTGTAAGTAGTTGGTTATTACAGACATGACCATATATGACCCGTCGATATAATCTCACCCTTATGTCTTTTCAATTCAAAATTTGAACCGTCATATTCTGTAAACAAGACATGCAGTCTTGGAAGATTATAAAGCATGCGTTCTGTACGTTTCCTTTAGTGGTGAGTATCTTCTTGACTGCCGCCCTGGGTCTGCCTGAGGCGTTGATCCCTGTGCAACTGCTGTGGGTGAACTTGGTGACGGACGGTTTTCCCGCCACGGCTCTGGGCTTCAATCCACCCGATCTGGACATCATGACTAGGCCTCCTCGCAGCACCTCGGATCCCCTCATCTCGGGCTGGCTGTTCTTCCGCTACCTTGCAATTGGCGGCTACGTCGGATGTGCCACTGTCGGTTCAGCAGCCTGGTGGTTTATTGCCTATGACAAGGGTCCGCAACTGAACTACTACCAGCTGGTAGGCAGTAGTACTTTTGTGCAGAACTAAAAAAACAGTGTTTAAAATAATCAATGTATTACCGGCAAACGTCAAGACTGCAGTATACGCGTATTTCTAGCTGACGTCAGCTGCAGATACCCAACTATAGTATAGCCACAGAAACTGCCGCTACACTCGAGTTTCGAACCCGCAACCAGTGAGCTTGAGACGAACGTCCTATCCACTGAGCTATCGGGTCGACATCTTGCCGGTTGTCGACCGGGATATAGATAAGTACATAGGTGTAAACCGACCTGGTCCAGGATACACCAACCCTGGCTGTTTCGTCTGCCAGAAAGAAGGCAGTAAAATGTGACCGGCCAAAGTATGCCTCAGAGCTTCTGTGGTGGAAGGAGAGCGCAGAGGGAAGTAGACTTGAACTTAAAAACGTGAGTTTCTTTCTAATTTTATGGAAGATGATATTATAGTGCTATCAAAATCAGTACACGGTTCGTTCTAAAATCCCAGTCTGGCTTCAAGGGAATAGTGTACCGATTCGCTTGCAGGGTGACACGTTCAACATTTCCGTCTGAGTTAGTGCAAACTATGGTTTTTAAAACTTAAGTGGAGGACTGCAGCTCAAGTCTGTAAGAGTTAAGCCTTTCTTGTCTTCTTTCAGTTATCCAGCTTAAACGATATTCAGCCGCTGCTTCGACAAAAGTCTAAGCTTGATCTCCAACAGATGGAGAAACCAAAGTCTTCTCCTGGTTTTCCTTTTTAGATCTATGACTGTTAAAGTCCCTTTCACAGAATGCGATTTTTTTACCTAAAGATCACCAGGAAGATCTAAACGCAGCAGCTTACTCACTCGCTGTCTTGGGGGAGCAATGGTGTCTAGGGTGAAGCTACTTGCATAAACTAGTTCTGGATTAAGTCTGACCGAAATGTCAGCAAACCAACAAAGTCGTTCCGGTGAAGAAAACATGATCTATAGGTCTGAATTAAGTTGCTTTGGTTCGACATAATCTCACCTGAAAGGCAGCAATTGCTGTCAAATTCTGCATATTTCCCTGTTGCCCGACAGGTATTGGCTTCGCGAATTTCCACTGATTTCTTCGATTTATAACCAGGATATAGTCGCTCTGTGTCAGCTTTAGTGGACACAGCAGTCAGCGGACTATGCAGTCTGATGCCGCGCCTACGGTGGGTCAGTAAGATGGGAGCAGGGAGATGACACTTTATGATGCCAAAATGCGTCCTTTGTTCTGCCATCTTCCAAATTGCTGCTCGCTTATGCAAGGGTCTCAGAAAATCAAAGTAGTCGTGCTAACTAACTATTAGGCCCGTGAATAACAGACTGCAGTGGGTAAGTTCAGGAATAGTAGGGGATGCTACCAACATTTACTCTTAAGTTTATATTGCCTGCTCTGTTTTCTTCGGCCAAACTATGCAAACCCCATTTAGACGAGCAGAGAGTTGTTTGATTACTTAAAACTCACGTTCGAGTCTTCTCATCTGGATTATGCGCAGTTAAATTTGCTGCAGTTATTGCCTTTCGAAACTGTCAAAATAAAATGTGGCTTTGAAGCTTATCCACTGTATACCTAGGTAAATCTGTAAAACCAGTTTCGGGTGAAGAAAACTTCGAAATCTACCATATTGCAATCAACAAGTTATTAAGTTTGAATGCTTGTGGCTTACTCATGTATTTACAACCTCGCTCAGTAGTGACCTGCACCCCAAATTTGCCTTCGGTCTGGTTATTTCTGATCAAACCAGTTAGAAATTCAGGAGCTAAATTACCAGATATAGCCAATTTTGTGAGTTCTACATCCTAGCCCCCCTTTCCCCTTATCTTCTGGTCCATCATCTTCACTACTGCTCTCGACTCAGTAGATTGTCATAGCCGGCTGACTTTGAACATGTGTAAACCGGACCATTCTCTTATTGCATTGAAAACAGACCCACCATATGCAGTGTCTGGCTGAGCACGAAAACTT